AAACGCACACACACACAAACTGAACATCCATGCCCTGAGTTAGATTCGAACCCACGATCCCGGATTCCGAGCGAGCGAAGACAGTGCATGCCTTACACCGCTTGGCTACCGTGTCCGGCTTCCTAAAAGGATTAGGAAAACTAAAAAAAAAAAAAAAATCCACCTCATCGAGACTAGAACCCGCAACCTTCCGTCTTGTAGTATGGTGCAATCAAGAAGGGAGTCTAGCAAATTCGGGTAGCAAGATTTGATTACTATCAGCCACTGATTCCAAAAACGCATGAACAGAAGAAGTTTTTGTTGTAAAATCTGACCACCAATAAATCAACCCGTACGTGTTTCTTGCCAAAGCAATCGAGTGGTATGGCAGATAAGTCTTTGCTGTCATATACATTTCAGTTGCGAAAACTGCGGTATGCGGTTCAAAGAGATAGCAACGAAAACTAATAAAACATATGATCTAGTCAAAGAAACTGACAGCAACATGCTTAAAATTTCTCACATAAAGGTACCTGTTTCCAAATTTTGTACGCAGTTAAATCGATTTGTTCTTAACAAATTTAGTTGTCATTTGACCACAATAGCTCAGAAAATGTATTAAATACAAATTATAGTACGACCCGCAACTGAATTGCCTTATAAACTGAAATAATCCTAACACAATTATAAGACAACTTACATCACGTATGCTGCTTGTTAAAGAAATTTTGTGGGCATAAGTTGACGGCGTTTACCCACGTCTCCCCAATTTCCAGCCCTGTTATCCGTTGATTCCCATTCAACACTGTACTAAGCTTCAGTAGTTGGCACATCATCGTCAAATAAACAAACAAGGAAAGACTCCGGCCATCCAGCGCAAAACACATCAAGATTAACCATCAATTCTGCTCTTCGCAAACAGAAATAAACCACTGTTTACAACCAAATTAGAGACAACTTTGCTGCAATGTTTCTTTAACACGTTGAAATTTCTCCGAAAATTAACGGCCGTGGGGATTCGCCGACAAGCGACGGTCGCTCGGTCGGTATAGTTCGCTTGCGGACAAAAGCCACGGCGTTTCCTTTGTTAAAATTTCGTGTCTGCCTTGACCCGACAGGCACAAGAAGAGTTTACGTTAATTCAGTTCCATAATATTTTACGTTTATTTTTGGACGGCTTCATATAGAAATGATGTATATTAGCAAGTCCGGCGCAAGTCTAAATTCCGCCAAAGTCTACGATAAATTTCCAGACACTGATGAAAACTGTCAATGGGGTCCTAATTCTAAGACAGTTGAGTTTGCGTCTTTACCACGTACAGACGACTGCTAATATGAATGTAAGCCAACATAAATTCATTTCCATTTACTTACTTACTTACTCATGGAGCTGCCCTTCTGGAGGAGCCGCCAATTCTGCAGCTACTCAAGAATTTTCCAGCAGTTTATGGAACCCGAAGCTTCATTACCGTATTCACAAGAGCCCTCCACTGGTCCCTATCCTGAACCAGATCAATCCAATCAATACCATCCCATCCTATCCCTCTAAGATCCACTTTAATATTGTCCGCCCACCTACGCCTTNCCCTTAGTTTATGTTCCTCCCTTAATGTCAGAGACCAAGTTTCACACCCATACAGAACCACAGGCAAAATTATAGTTTTGTATATTCTAATTTTTATGTTTTTGGACAGCAGACGAGAAGACAAAAGGTTCTGGACTGAATGGTAGCAAGCATTACCCGAGTTCAATCTCCTCTTAATTTCCTCCTGAATCAGGTTTCGATCTGTTATCGTTGTTCCCAAATATATGAATTGTGCCACATTTTCAAAACGTCGGTTTCCTATCTTCTTATCATGATTTTGCCCTGAATTTTGGTGACGAGACAGCAACATATACTTAGTTTTCTCAGTGTTTACTTCTAGACCAACCAACCAAGCATTTCCTTGTTTTAGATCATTCTGGGTAGGAAATTTATCAAATATTTACCTACACGGACTTTACTATACATTTCATTTAAACACATTTTAATCAACCTAACTAGTTTCATGTGTATTCCAAACTCTATCAGAATATTGTACAATACTTCCCTCCTAACTGAATCATAGACTTTCTTGAAGTCTATGAATGGCTGATGTACTGTCTCATCGTACTCTCATTTTTTCTCCAATACCTGACGAATGCAAAAGATCTGATCTGTAGTTTATCTGTTACGTTGAAACCCACATTGATGATCCCCAATAATTTCACCTATACATGGACTTAACCTTGAGAGAAGAATATTGGATAAAATTTTGTATGAAGTTGATAGCAGTGATATCCCTCGATAATTACTACAGTCAGTTTTATCGCCCTTCTTGTGAACTGGTACAATATGGACTCCTTCTACGGCTCAGGAAATTTTTCCTTATGCCAAATAGAAGTAATTAGATTGTGGATCTTAGAATGTAATATTTCGCCTCCTGCTTGAATAAGTTCTGCCGGAATTTGATCACTACCTGGCGATTTATACCGTTTCAATTTTGCAATAGCACTTCCAACCTCAAAAGGGCTACGATCGGGTACTAACGGCTCTGCTTTATGGATTTCTGTCTGCCTAACATCACTAACCCTATGTACATTCAATAACTGAGAGAAGTATTTCCTTCACCTATTCAAAATGTTGTGGGAATCTGCAAGCAGATCACCATTCTCATCCTTCACTAAATTACTGCTAGGTTGGTAACCCAGCTTAAAGTAATTTATTTCTCTATACAGGTCTCTGATGTTCTTGTTCTTACTGCTCATTGCAAGCGCATCAATTTTGTCTTTCAGATATACCTCTTTTTGTTCCTGAAATGCTTGCTGGTTTCACGTCTTATATTGTTCAGATTATCCCCATTTATTTCTCTTTAATCCTGTAACCACTGTAATTTGGCTTGTTTTCTTTGGTCTAATAATTTTGAGCATCCTTCATCGAACCATGTCTTATGCTTCTTTAGTTCATAATAACCTAGACTCTCCTTGGCAGAAATTTTGATATTTTCTCTAATAGTTTCCCAAGTTTTATTAACATCCCCCTCAGTGTCCAAGTTTTCCAAAGCCGCAAACCTGTCTGAGATCTCAACATGATACTGCTCTTTACCGTCTACCTCATTTAATTTCTTGAGACTGAACCTCTCCATATGATCTCTGTGTGTTGTTTATTTGCTCACTGCCAGTTTTTCCCCAAACTTTGCCACCACCAGGTAGTGGTCACTGTCACAATCTGCTGCCCTGAATGATCGGACATCAAGTATAGTTGAGTGGCGTCTCCTGTCTATCAAAATATGGTCTATTTGATTGTGTATCTTCAAATCAGGAGATGTCCAAGTAAATTTATGGATGTTACGATGTGGGAACATTGTACTTTTGACAGTAAGATTTTTTGATGTGGCAAACTTTACTACTCTAACTCCATTATCATTACTAATTTCATGCAAACTCTCATTCCCAATCATTGGTTTGAAAATGTCTTCTCTCCCTCCTTTGGCATTGAAATCTCATAACAAAATTTTTATAGGGTACTTCGGGAATTTATCAAATACATGTTCTAGTTCATCATAGAATCTATCCTTTATGTCATCAATTTTATCTTCTGTTGGTGCGTGAACATTCATAACAATGATATCACACCAGCGACCTTTTAGTATATATGATATCCTATCACTAACGAATTCTACCCTCTTAACTGCTGATACGATTCTCTTATGTAAGAAAAAACCTGCACCAAATTCATAATTTTCATTCCCCTTTCCATAGAAAAATGTATAGTCTCCTGCTGGTGCGATGCCACCTCCATCCCATCTGACCTCCTGCACTCCCGCTAAATCTAACTTATATTTTAAGATGTCTTCTGTCACTGCCCTGAGCGAACCTGCCCTATACAAACTTCGTACATTCCAAGTTCCAAATCTCATCTCCATTTTCTTTAGCTTAGGTCGTCTATCCAAGGAATCAATCCAGGTCCGAGGCTTTGTGTTCATTTTCGTAACATACTTATTTTTTTCGGTGAGGAGTTGTTAGTCCCACGCCCAACCCCCAAGCTGGAGGGCCACCCCTTGTCGGCTGTCCGCGACTGCTTATTCAATATATTCACAGCTTCCCCGCAAAACTGGAGGGCGTCTCCTCCATCCGCAACCTGAGGACGCGCCATGCCGTGGTGACAAGGGACCCAGCTAATTTCCATTTAATAAAAGGAAAAAGAAAAGAGAGGTGTTTTAGATGTGTTATCCCTGGGGACAGCTTGGCTCGCATGTGTTGTCACGCAGACCCTGTACATAATAATAGTAGCCATTTTTATATCTGATCTTAGTTACTTATTACAGTGAGTTTACTTTAACACTTAAGTTAAGTCGGGTTTATTCCTATGTACTTGCCTAAATGCAGCAAAGCCTTTCCAGTGTGAGAAAATAAAAAAAAATCACCTTTAATCTTATACCAATTTATACAACATTAATGTAAGATTTGAGGTTTACACAGAGGTGACTATGAAGAATGCCGTCTTCTGGGATGTGGCGCCGTGTAGATATTGTGTTAACCGATGTTTTGGAGTAACGTATCGCCTCCATCTTCAGGGTATAACATTTCCGCGAGCGAGGAACCAGCGTGAGGTGGCTGCAGACACCTGATCATGCTGGTTCCTCGCTCGCGGATATCTTACACCCTGAAGATGGAGGCGATACGTTCTTCCGAAACGTCGGTTAACACAATATCTACACGGCTCCACATACCAGAAGACTGCATTCTTCAAAATTAACGTAATTATAACTCCACTCGTTATAGTCTACATATTATGTAAAGAGCGTCTAAAAACCAGATATCAAGTGTATGTGGCCAATGAAACTCAGTAAGAGCAAAAATCGCTCTGTATATTAATGAAGCAATGCCCTTGCTACGTCGTAACGTATCATGGGTACGTATGTTGGTCAAGCAAAAGCAAAACAATTACAGCAGTAAGGCGATACTAGCGCCAGCACTGGAAAGGGTGCAGTTGCCACAATTCCACGCCGACGACCTCATGTGAATTTGAGTCGCGTACATACGTACAGCAGGTTCATTATTACATCAGGCGGTCAAGGAGACGGACGTCTGGCCAGAACTGGCCACTGACCATATTCTACATCGAAGGTTTACGAAAACCGTGCCAGACATGAGTTCCTGTATTTTCAGTAATGGGTGAGTTAATTCTGTACCGTCCGGAGGATGGTTTGTCACAATTAAGATTGCAGAGATTCTGCATTTTGTAGATCGTCCGTGGTCCAGTGATTGGGGCTAGCTCTTTTCAATGAACCTAGCAGTGTTTCCTTATCTTTTCTCCTGAAGATGGACATAGATTTAGATTCCGAAACGTTGCGTGTGGTTCAGAATACTAGACGATAAACAGAAAACTCCAGTAATACTACACTTGTAAATTATGTTGTACGGCAATATGTGTCACAATAAAAACGACAAAAGTGAAAGAGGCTGTGATTAAAGATTTTCAGAAAATTTTCTACTATAATTCCAGCATTACGCATTTTTTTTTTTTTTTTTTTTTTTANGCGTAAGTAAATGAACGCATAATTGGGGTGTCGGATCTCTCTGTCCGCATTTTCATCTCGGAAATTTCGGAAGAATTTAGATTAAATTTGGTATGACGGAGGATCAGTGCTAAAATTTAAGTTCATATAGATCAAACATATCCACCTACCTTAAGTGAAATTCAAATTTAAACTGATAGTTACCCTTTTTAAATACGTCTCGTCATAAAGAAGAAAACTACGCGAGACATAAAATGTGTATTAAGATCAACTACCTTTGTTTGAAATTGTTTCCCCCATATGGTGTATACTAATACAAGACAAAAACGATTTCTTACTATTAGCTTTGAAACAATACATAATTAATGAACAACCACGATACACCGCCTTAATTTTTGATAACTTTTATTACAAAGTATTGAGAAAACGGGGCCGATTTGGCGTGTTGAGGAGAACACTGCTTTAGCAGACAAAGGACGTAATTCAGGTTAATTATATTTTTTAATAATTACAACTCTTGTTCGGATATTTAGTAGAGATATATTTATTGCATACAGGAGCAATTCGTCTCTTATATCCACAAAGAAAACTGTGTGTCGGTTTGTGTGTTCTTGATATATATCAGCTTATTTCGATCAAATTTGGCAAGATGACAGAATAATTCACTGGGGAGATTTTAGACACTAGAAGACACGGTCCAGAATTTTAGAAAATCCAAAAGAACAGGCTTGTTCTACCTAATATTGATGCTCGAAAATTACTGAGTGTTTTCCCTTGCGTTCGACTTGAGCTTAGAAAAAAGAAGGCCTCTCTGTATCTACATGTCTGTCTGCTGTGTTTTTAAGATATTTAGTTTGAAATTTTCCAGAAATAAATGACGACTTTTAAATATTCGAAAAAAAAAATACCGGGATTTACATTGTAATTGATTAGTTAATTTCCTTATAATTTGTACTCTCTATATTAATATCATTAACAAGAGCGTTATAAATTTTCAATTCACTTCATAATTACACGTGTGCAATACGTCCACACAATACAGAGTAATTAGTTTATCTTCTACAAAATAATTTATTTCTGAAGAAGGCAGCACTGCCGAAGCTGCGCCATACCCAGAGAAAAATTATGGACTAACAAATTATTTGAGGGTTCTCATCTTAAATTTATAATCGCACTCAAAATATACGGGGGCACGCGGTAGCGTAGTTGGTTGAGGCACTATGCTACAAGCCGGAAGGTCGCGGGTTCAAGTCCCGATGGGGTCATTGTATTTTTTCAATTGACCTAATCCTTCCGGCCGCAATATGGCCCTGGGGTCGACTCAGCCTCTAAGAGAAATGAGTACCAGGAATCTTCCTGGGGGGTAAAGGGCGGCCGGCGCGTAAGGCTGACAACCTTACCGCCATCTTTGAGCCGATTGTCTAGATAATGTGGGGCCCTCAACGTCTCACAACCCTATGGGCCTTCACGGCCTGTTACAGGGATAGCTTTACTTTTTTTTCTGCTTTTACTCAAAATATACACATAAATTTGATATATTAAATTGTTAAAATTGGTTCACATGTATTCATCTACTCCTTAATTTGAAACTCTTCATAATGTAGTCACATGTCTTTATTAGTGTAATGTAAGCACAAAGTAAAAATTGACACTATTAAGTTGCATTGTAATGTAGTATCAGAAGCACGTCACAATACAATTCTATACCCCACATCACATTATGTACGTGCAGTATAATTTATTAATATCGGGCGAATAAAATGTGGAAATTCACAAAAATGAATGTCACTACATTGTGCTACACCTTCATATATGAATTAAACTAATTAGACGTTTACTCTCATCTGAGTTTACTCGTGTAGAAGCTTCTTATCAGCGCGTCCTATCTCTCTGCATCCTTATGTCTATCTGTTGCGTCTTTCCCTATTTTAGAAGGTCATTATAATTATGTGTGCCTCTTTGGGCGTTTTCCAAAGTCGCATAACATTTATTCATATTTCTGAACTTTTCTGTCCAATTATAGGCTGAGCCTAATCTTGACAGTTCATCGTCTAATAGATCCGCCCAGTTATTAGCCTTGACATTAACCACTCGATAACTAACAAAAACTTTAGTTATACAGGATGTTTCACGACTTTAGGGCATAACTGCAGGAGGTGATATCCTAGGTCTTTGTGATCAAAAAAGTTCATGTAAACATGTGTCCGATTTTGGACGGTTACGGAGTTATGACCGTTTTAAACTCAGAATAGAAGGTAACGATTACTGACAAAACGGAACAAAATAATAAACCAGCATAATACATGATACATTTAAAGTATGAATGTAAAGTTAACTTCGTGAAATTACCTTTAATTTGAATTTATTGGTGCTTAAAGCTGATTTTCGAAAATACCACTGCCGGCCGCAACACAGGCTGCCGCTCGGTTGTGAACAGCGCCGGACATACCAACCCACCCACCCCACCTTAGGTAGCTCTCAAGTGTCGAGATAATGAGAACGCTCTGTCTGTAGCTGGCTAAAGATAGCGACCCGCCAGCTGACAGACGCGGTTCACACGAGGGCGTGTACTGGAATTAAAAAACGGTCATAACTCCGTAACCGTCCAAAATCGGACACATGTTTATATGAACTTTTTTGATCACAAAGACCTAGGAAATCGCTTCCTGCAGTTATGCCCTAAAGTCGTGAAACACTCTGTATATATGTTTTCTAGGGATAACATATGGCACATACTGGCCACACTCTTGTGTCTTCTGCTCTCCTTTCCTAATTTTATTTCAGCCGTGCATTTAACCTGCATCTAGAAAGAGAATCTTCCCAGAACAGCATCCATTTCCCCCTTCCTCCACGAAAACGCTTTATTTCAAATCCTAGACTCGACTAACATTTGGGAGATACAGTCTAAAACATTTATAACATTTCGGCAGCCCTGGATATGATGAACACAGATATCAGTACTGGACTAATCTTGCATTCTTTTCTTTTGTTGTAGCTTAGAAGCTCACGTGCATTTTCGCACTACGTGAGCCTTCGCTTTTCCTTACAAGGCCAGTTTATATTTGAATGGGAAGAGTTTCCTACGTTAAAACCCTGTTTTGGTCTTCAAACTGATAATTATGTAAAATTTTCCTCCTTACCTTTGGGTCTAATGTCAAACGTAAGCAGAAGCGCCACTGAGTACGACACGTACAAAGAACATTCTGTATTCACGAAACAGGTTTCCAGGTGCATTTTGTGACTATCAACCAAGTCATTAATCAAGTCTTCAAGAGAGTACGCATGACAAGTTCCGCAACTATTGTTGATTCCAGGAACAAAATTATGGAATTATTGGGCGTTTTTACGTCAGTCAATATTTACATTTTCGTGTATCTATAATTAGGCCTAATAATAAACATGTCTTCCCGTCTGCTGTTCAAAAACATAAAAAATATAATTTCCCCCCCCCCCTTGGCACTACAGCCCCAGTGGGCCTAGGCCTACCTCCATGAACTTCTCCGTTCACTTCGGTTTTTCTAGATCTTACACATACAGTAGGACTCCTTGGGCGGGTGATCAGCTCGTCGCAAAGCCTCTACCTGTAGGCAAACGCAGAAAAATGCACACAAACATCCATGCCCTGAGTGGGATTCGAACCCACGATCTCGGCTTCCGAACGAGCGAAGACAGTGCATGCCTTAGACCGCTCGGCTACTGTGACCGGCAAGAAATATAATATACAAAACTATAATTTTGTCTGTGGTTCTCTATGGGTGTTAAACTTTGTCTCTGATATTAAGGGAGGAACATAGACTGAGGGTGTTTGAGACCGAAGAGAGATGAAGTGAGAAGAGGTTGGAGAAAACTGCATAATGAGGAGCTTCATAACTTGTACTTTTCTATAATTAGAATGATAAAGTCAAGGAGGATAATGTGGGGAGGGCATGTAGCACGAATGGGAAGAAGAGGAATGCATATAAGATATTGGTGGGAAAGCCAGAAGGAAAGAGACGACAGGGAAGACCAAGGTGTAGGTGGGTGGACAATATTAAAACTGATCTTAGAGAGATAGGCTGGGATGGGATGGATTGATTGCTCTGGTTAAGGATAGGGACCAGTGGAGGGCTCTTGTGAACACGGTAATGAACCTTCGGGTTCCATAAAATGCTGGGAAATTCTTGAGTAGCTGCAGATTGGTTTTCGTAAACCGCTTTCAGATTATCTCAATTTCAATATATTAAATAACGTCATCTCATTGTGAACTAGGCTTTCTGTGTCATTCATCCTGTATTAATTACAGTCCCGCTTCTCTGCAGGGTGAATTCTTCCCAAGATGAAGAGCAGCTTGACAATCAATCTGGGATGCTTTATGGAGAATATCTGCAATTAGATAAGATTCTGAACTCTCAGCGCATGCTCAGCGCCAGAACCAACCATCCTGTTCATGATGAACATCTCTTCATCATAACCCACCAAGGTATGTATAGGACCTAAATGTTATTTCAAACTTTCGAAAATATATGGCTAAAAAGAAACGAATGTCGCTACTTTGATATTGAAGCCTTGTTGTAGGATGTCATTTCGGAATCAGTGTAACAGGTGACATCACATCCGCTGTCCTCTGTTAGCCATTTCACTGCCCACGTATTTTTCAGGTACTAAACATTCCTATGGCATATTTTCTACCTCCCCACCCTGAAGATTTACTATTTTTCTGGTGACTGGGAGTAAAACGGGATATTCTCAAGTTAGATCCAAGTGGTAACGCTTCTGACTTGTATTCTGCAGGTAACCAAGTCGAGTCTCGGAGACGGGACACTAAATCTTCTGGCTGAGGTGTTGACAGCACAAACAAAACAAACTCCGTGGATTTAGTCCGCAAGCGAACTATACCGACCAAGCGATCGCCTCTTGTCGGCGAAGTTAGTGCCAACTTTAGCGGATAGAGGGTGTCGCGTGGTCAGCGCAACGGATCCCCACGGTCGTTAATTTCGGTTTTCTAGACCGGAGCCGCTATTTCCTTGAAATAGCTCCTCAGTTATCTTCACGAGGCTGAGTGGACCCCGTTCCAGACACACTACTTCTCAGAAAATCTGGTAGCGCCGAGAATCGAACCCGGGACCTCTGGATCTGTAGCCAGGAACCCTGACCACTAGACCACAGAGGCACCAAAAGCGACGGTCGGTCGGTCGGTGTAGTTCGCTTGCGGACTAAACCGCGGAGTTTCTTTATTACTGGCGAGCGTGAAGTTTATCCATTTGAGAGAGAGGCGACAATTCTCGCTATTACCTGGTTCAAAAACATTCCCTGTTATACGTGTCTTCTCATTTACCATACTGGCAGATTATTTGTTATTTGTCATCGTACATTTCTTTCGATATATCGTTCTTTCGAAATGATTTTCGAGGACGATTTGAGCGATATTCGATTCCTGAGAGCATAGGTTTGATGTAGGCGCTAAAATGTATTTCCGAAGCCTTGCGCGATCTAAGGCATTACTGTGTTCGCTCGCTCGAACGCTGGGATCGTGGGTTCGATTCCCACTCAAGGGATCGATGTCTTTGTACGTTTATTCTGTGTGTAGGGAGCGGCCTTGCGACCAGCTGATACCCCATCCAAGGAGTCCTACCGACTGTATATTTGATTAAGAAACTGAAAATGTGGCCAAGGACCAACAAAGGACCGTAGAGCCATGAATAGATAATAAACAATCTCTAAGGAACGCGAAATTTGGCTATTCTGTATATTCATCTAATAATATGAATTGTAATTACAGTACTGGTACCATGTTTCTAAATGCATTATATTCACTAAACAAATTATCAGATATCAGAAATCCATGCTCAAGTTCATTCGCCGTTTACTTATAATGTATGTCTTCATTTTCAGCCTATGAACTCTGGTTCAAGCAGATATTATTCGAACTGGATTCTGTTCGAGCCAAGTTCAATAGCGAGGTGAGAATATTGCATGTCTCAAATTTCCAAATGAGTTCAGAAAGAATAATTCTATTCTGTTTGTTACATAAGTTTTCAAATTCGGTGAAGACAATAAAAATACTTTTAAACTTAAGATAAAGCCCAGCACTGTGTATGTGAGAAACAAGGTTTTTCAAATTAAAATCAGTGTGTCAATGATCACTCTATCCCGCAATGTTGGGGAGCAGAGGTGGAGAAGAAATTCAGTAGAGGAATCCAAAAATTTAAATTGTCAGTAAAATTGTTGCGATTAATTTGTCATATATACAGAGTGTCCCAGGATGAATGTGCCAGACTTCGGGAGGGTGTTCCTTATGTTAAAGTATGCCGATATAACCCAAAACACCTATGTCCAAAGTTCAACGGTTACGGAGATAATGACCCGAGAAAAGTGTGGTCTTCTGGCTGGTCCACGCACTGTACCTGTAAGCTGACAAGTCTTATCTATGTTTGTCCTTGAGTGTGGTGATTCGCACTAGCCGTAAGCTTATGTGCTACCTTCAGGGTACGTTGCGGCCGCGTTGTGAGTGGTTGATAAATTAGTTGTGCGGAGTTGCTGAAATGTCTTTTGTGTTTTCACACGTGGAATATTGTGATATGCATTTTGTGTATGGATTTTGTTGTGGCAATGCACGTGCTGCTGTTGAAGAATGCCAATGGATCGACGGATTCCGTCTCGAAGTGTATTTACGCGAATTCACCAGACATTGCGTGATACTGGTTCTCTTCCGAGTGTTCCTGTGCACTCTGAAAGGGAGGATGTACGAATGAGAAACACACAAGAGAACATTCTTGAGATGGTTCAGAGAAGTCCGCGTCTGTCCATTCGTAGAATGGCCTCTCGCATCGGCATATCACGTATGCAGGTGTGGCGAACTATACATGATGAAGAGTTGTATCCTTACCATGATCAAAGGGTACAACATACGTAACCAGGCGACCATGCTCAGCGCATGGATTTGTGCCACTGGATGAAAGCTCATCCCGAACTTTTAAGCGTCATTTTATTCAGTGATGAGGCGTCTTTTACCCGGGACGGTGTATATTAGTAGTTATGTAGTCGGCTTATACCAGAATGCGCAGTCAGCCATGTTACGTCAGTGCTTGCCATACATATCTCATGTATAGTGCTTGGAACCATAGCGACAACTATAACATGGCGTTCGAGTTTTTTGCAGTTCAATTTAATGGCTTCATGTCATTCACAATTTAGTTCGATGTTATGTACATTATGGATATTACAGAAACCACATATTCCTGCCAGTTTTAATATGTATTTGGTAATCAACAAGTGTGTAACACCGGTCAAAATTTCACACTTCTCTGGCCATTATCTCCGTAACCGTTCAACTTTGGACATAGGTGTTTCGGGTTATATCGGCATACTTTAACATAAGGAACACCCTCCCGAAGTCTGGCACATTCCTCCTGGGACACCCCTGTATATATATATATGCTATAAGCCAGAAGGTCGTGGGTTCGGGTCCGAATGAGGTGGATTTTTTTTTTAATTGACCTAATTCTTTCTGCCGCACTATGGCCCTGGGGTCGACTCAGCCTCTAACAGAAATGAGTATATAATACGTAGCGGTCATAAAGTTTTAAAGAGGTTTATAATAAATATTTACAATATTTTTGTGCAATTTTGATTTTAATTTTAACTTTTACTGTTTAACTGTAAATTCAGTATAATAATGATGATCCAACATAAGGGTCGAAACATGTAGCGTCATTAGCCAGTAAACATATGTTGATACAATAGTACCTGTTTTGTTTTCTCCTTCTCGGAAATATTGTTGTGTAGACTGCCCCCAGTATATAGAACTACTGTGTGACGAGTAGCAAAATTATTGCCCTTGCAAGTTTCCCTCACTCTATGCAGTCCCCCGACCATTATCGCCACCAAGAACAGTACAGGTGGTCTGAGGCAGATCTAGACGTATATGCTAATATCTATTTCATATTATGTACTATTCTGTTTGTTTATTTATGTAAAATCACAGAGGCGTAAATGTAAAGGATCTAATTTGCAGTTATATCAAGTACCACCGTGTTATTTGTGGTTTATTTGACCATGTCAGTATCTGCGACTATGCAGCGGCAAATCACTCAATTATTACTGGAAAATGAATTGTAGTTTGGAGAGAAGTGGTGGTGGCCTAATCGAGGTACCTCAGTCGGATTTGTTGGTTTCCTAGTCGGAATTCGAACCGAGTACTTCCGAATACAAGTCCTGAGCCTTACCTATACTTCAAAAGAGAAATAAGACTCCGTGGATTTTAAGGATAATGTCAAGAACGATTTTTTTTTCAATTAAAAAGACCAGACAAAACGAATAATCAACCTTTCCCCCCCCCCTTTAGATGCCTCGGAAAGAAGTAAATTAACTATCCCCTGTTATAATTTATTTGAATGTTTAATTGTTCTAGACACAATTTGCATAGGCCCGTTTTATTTTACACTCAAGTTAAAATTGGACAGCTCAGTCTGTGGGCTGAAAGACCAATATTCAGTTCCCAGTATGAGCATGGATTTCTCCTCCGCTCTGGGGGCTACTAATACTTCTATCTAACTGCCACCGGGACCTTTACGCCCGGAGCGTGAAGTGGATCACTCAGTTCCATCTAGTTCCGAGGGCTAGAAAGCATAGAACTATAGTTCTGTTTCTTCATGCGTTTCTATGGCATGGCACTTAATTAAGCTCACTCATGCAGCTGAGCCCTTCTTGAGAAGCCGCTAACTGTGCAGCTACTCAAGAATTTCACAACATGTTATGGAATCCGAAGTTCATTACAGTGATTACAAGAGTTTTCCATTGGTTCCTATCCTGAACCAGATCAATCCAATCCATACCATCCATCTCTCTAATATCCATTTTAATATTGTCCACCCACTTACGCCCTGGTCTTCGCAGTGGTCTCCTTCCTTCTGGCTCTCCCACCAAAATCCTATATGCATTCCTGGTATCCCCCCATTCGTGCTACATGCCCTGCCCACCTTATCCTCCTTGACTCGATCACTCTAATTATACTTGGAGAAGGGTACAAGTTATGAAACTCCTCATTATGCAAATTATTCGGTCCAAATACGCGCATTCTCCTCAACACCCTGTTCTCAAACACCCTCAGTCTATGTTCCTCCCTTAAAGTCAGAGATCAAGCTTCACACCCATACAGAACCACAGCCAAAATTATAGTTTGTATATTCTAATTTGTATGTTTCTGGAGAGCAGACGAGAAGACAAAAGGTTCTGGACTGAATGGTACCAAGCATTACCCGATTTAAGTCTCCTCTTAATTTCCTCCCCAATCAGCTTTTGATTTCTTATAGTCGTTCCCAAATATATGAACTGTGTCACATTTCCAAAACATCTGTTACATATCTTTATGTCATGATTTTGCCCTGCATTTTTGGTGACGAGACTAACTTAAGCACAACAATAAATTTACCTTGACTTTTCACTAGTCTAAAATATTAAAAAAAGAATTGCCCTAAAACAGATTCATCAAACGTTCATTGATTTTGTTGAAGCTTGCTGCATTGTTGAAGATACCGAGGAAATAAATTCTGCACTTTCCGATTGTGGTCTTATACACTGTGACACTATGGAATTTGGTAGGTTGGTACTACCGTGTAGGAGGAACCTGCTGCCTCCATCTTCACTGTAGATCTTGAAGCTTTATAGCCTCAATACTGAAAGCGTCGTTAAACAGCCCATGAAGGAAATGACAGACCGTTTAGTAACTTGCAACAACCGGATTCAATCCCGGGTCTGGTCAAGTGGGATTTGTGGTGGACAAAGTGGCGCTGTGGCAGGTTTTCTCCGAGTACTTCGGTTTCCCCTGCCAAATTTCATTCCACCAATTGCTCCACAATCACCCTCACTAATCATCTGGGGCTGGTACAATAGGTCAGAAGTGGCCGCAGTACAAGGGACTTAGTCCCACCCCACTAGCAATAAAAAAGATAACAAAAAAACAGGCAACAAACTTAGGGAAGAGCTGATATATCTTATTGTCACAAATCTTTTTAAAGTATCTTGTATGAAAAAGCAGACGTGTGAACAAATGTGAAATTTTCAAGTCTCGAAAACCTCAAATCTCAATTCTACTCGCTCCTAAATGATTACGGTTAATAAATTCAGGATCTAAGGATTTGGATTTGGTAATAAGAATCTTACATTTTGCTATGCCTGCCACAGGTAAAATAACTCTAAATATTATAATCTTCTGAGTTGTAACACCATCTAATTAGAAGAGACCTCAACGTTTTCGGGGAGTATATCGCTTCCATTTTCAGGGTAGAAGAGTAAGTCAAGCAAGAAACCAGAAGGAGCAAGTGGTAAGTTGAACCTTGCCACGTGATTTTGCTGGTTTTTTGCTTGGCTTATTCTTCGGCTCTGAAGATGAAGGTGATATGTTCCTCCGAAGATCAGACTCCCTCTTAACTAAGCGATGCTACAATCTAGAATATTTCAGTCTTCATAGCCAATTCTGTGAGATCGTCAGATCCAATGAAATCATTGTGGATACTGAAATAGGCATATTTAAGATAGACACTCAGTACTGGCGATCGCGAATGGAAGCTCTTGAAATATCACAGTCGAATGTCTTGATCTTAAACGCCAAAGGCATGATTTATAGATCAATCAGATCCCATTATAAACACATGCACATCAAAACATATTATTTGTTCTGTGGTTATTAGCATTTGCTTATCTAAAAACGTCTATTTTCCAGGACCTGGTTCTAGACGAATCGCAGTCACTGGAAATTTTGAAACGCATGAACCGTATAGTTTTAATTTTGAAGGTAAGTGGCAGATTTACAGAAGTTTCAGTTGTAACTAAGTAAGCAGTTAACTCCGCGAAATGGGTTCAAACTTCAAGAGACCGCAGTAGCTCAACTACTGAAAATTTTTCCAACATTTCGTGGATACCGAAGGTTTGTTACCGTGTTCTTAAGAGCCCTTCACTGTGCCTGTCCTGAGCCAGATCAATCCAGTCCATACCACCTCATCCTCTCTCTTTTAACACCCATCTTATTATTATCCTCTCACCTACATGTAGGTCTTCTTAGTGGTATCTTTCTCATCTTCTCTCCCATACGTGCTACATTCCCTGCCCCATCTCATACTTCTTTACTTCATCATTCTAATTATACTTGGCAAAGAATAGAAGTTATAAGGCTCCTTATTATGCCGTTTCATCTAACCTCCTACCACTTCATCCCTCTTTGGTCCAAATATTCTCCTCAGCAACCTGTTCTCAAACACCCTCAGTCTATATTCTTCTCGTAATGTCAGAGACCAAGTTTCACACGCATACAAAACCACAGGCAAAATTATGTATGTGGGAACTGCCCACATTCAAACAAGTGTGACAACGCAAGCTTCACTGCTTGAATGTGGACAGTTCTCACATGTATATTCTTGTACATTTTGATTTTAGTTCTTCAGAAAGAACACAAGAAGAGCAACATGTTCTGAACTGAATGGTAGCAAGCATTAGCTGAATTCAATATGCTCTTAATTTCCTTATGAATGAAATTTTGATTTATTACTGTCATTCCAAAATATGTGAACTTCGTCCCATTTTCAAAGGACATGTTAACCATCTTTATATTATGGATTTTCCTTGCATTTTGGTGACGATACATCGACATATAGTTAGCTTTCTCTTTGTGCATTTCGAGACCGACCTACTTACTAGCGTCAGGCAGAGAATCTGTGATTTTCTCTGTGCCATTTATGTTATCTCGCAAATTTACAACATAGAAATTTTATTTATGTGGTAATTAATTATTTATTTGTTAATCAGTGTGCTGTTTATATATTTATTTACCAAATGTGTATTTTGCATACATCTATAACATGATAATTCACGTTTCGTAATGTACATTCCTTCACGTGGTCATAATTCCTTTCGTAATTGAGTAGGGTCAACGAAGTCATGGACAAATCAACTGAACGGAAATGATGAGGTCAAAAGATTATTTATTGATTAGATACTATGAAGACATTAGCTTGTCTAGAAAATTGTTACAGAAAAGACATTCGCACATACTCGAAATCCTGATTGGTTCACTGGAACGCCCGACCCTTATTGGGTATGTAGGCATCATACGGAGTATGTAATTACATCACCAGTCTATCAGCTCAGACTGGAAAACATTACAAAGAGTTTGCAAATAGGATGACGAAAAATTAAGTAATGACAAGCTTATTTAACAACGTATTCATGTCACGCTGTAACCGTCTCTGTAGTCTAGTGGTCACAGTTCCTGGCTACAGATCCAGAGGTCCCGGGTTCCATTCCCGGAGCAACCAGATTCTTATGAAAAGTAGTGGGTCTGAAACGGGGTCCGCTCAGCCTCGTCAGCATAACTGAGGAGCTACTTGAATGAAAAAGTAGCGGCTCCGGTCTAGAAAACCGAGATTAACGGCCGTGGGGATCCGTTGCGCTGACCACGTGACACCCTCTATCCGCTGAAGTCGGCACTAACTTAGCCGACAAGCGGCGGTCGCTCGTTCGGTATAGTTCGCATGTCTCGCTGACACTTAACCCTACAGGCGCAAAGAGTAAAAAAAGTCGAGATTTGCGAAACTTGTTCTACCTGTTCGCACTTCTTCATAACTACATTTTCAAGAGATATCTGGAAGGAATTCGAAATTCTCAAGGCAGTTCTGTGTTATAATTTGACCGCGTAAAAATGTAGGTTTGACAGTTTTAAATTGTGGTTTCGTACCGCAGGAATTAAAGTTCGCGTCTTTGAAGTTAAATAAACCTTTAAATGATTTTAAATGAGTATGATGAAAGAGTTAGCTGCCTTATGAATGAAGTGCAGAGATTTCATCATGATCCTTGTGGCGTATAATCTGTTTGAGAGTTCTTCTAGTCTACTATATTCCATTTCGGCAATAAATCCATTATTCAATCACTAAATTTAATATCGTTGAAATTGCATAATATTTTTCATAAGCCGTTAATAAACAACCCTAAACTGCAGCAGAACGGGTAGTTTTGGAGCTACTCACTTCACAGTCAGTAAGTCAGCGACACCAAGTTTTGATGGGATTCAGTGATTAGAATGAAACGTGCGTTGAACAGAATGGTTTTTACAGACTTCGTTTTACGTAATGTTTTCGCGGCCAAATCCCTTTTGGCGAAAGTGATATCAGTGAAATTTTCCGCCCTGCCGCAGTTGCGTGCATGCTGTGCGAAACAACACAAGCTGTGAACTTGAGTGTACACCAAGATGGCGGACCTCCCAATACTGGGATTCCGGAAATACTGGCAACAGAAACAAGCATCGCTCAAAACTGAACGTAATGTCATCACGAACAAATATCCAAGAGGCAGCTTCTCTAGTAGACGTATATAAAGAACTCAATGACACTGAGACCCTTGCCGGATGCACACCGACTAAGATGGGGAAAGGCTGTGAGTGGACCTCTATTGTGAATAGTGGAGAAAAACAGTGCAAACGTTTGGAAAGCTCTAGTTAGGGAGCCGATTTTTATCCCTCTTTACGGAATGAACATGGTAAAACTGAAAGAACTGAAGGCCGCCCCGTTCCGAAAAGCCTATGAAAGCAATAATATATTACCTTCCCCAAGACACACCAGCGGAAGACATTTCCAACAACCTTGAGGACTTAGGCTTCAGCGTCATTAACGTGAGGTAAATGATAGGCATTCGAAGCGCACCGAACGGACAAACCGACGCGGAAAACCTTCTAGTCCTTGCTGATATTCAAGCTGAGCAGCCTTAACCATACTGTCATCAGACTGGCCTTACGCAGTGCTACATCTGCCAAAACTTTGGCCATGTCTGGTCCAAATGCATGCAAACCCCTCGATGTTTGTGGTGCGGTGGTGGCCATCTGGGTAGGGAATGCCCTGAAAAGACAACTACAGAATTTACGCACAACTTCTGCAATTGTACCTTAGCAGAATTAGAGAAACCTCCCACATCTCAAATCCCTTGAGAGGTTCAGAGACCTCCTCCTCCCCAAAATTGTAATAAATTTCCTTGTTGTTCTCATACTTAACTATATGATTCTTTCATTAATAAATGTACAGAATTCAATATTTTACCCCATTGCTATTTAACATGGGGCAGGCGGTAGCGTAGTTGGTAGAGGCACTGTGCTACAAGCCGGAAGGTATCGGGTTCGAGTCCCGATGAGGTGGATTATTTTCAATTAACCTAATCCTTTCAGCTGTACTATGACCCTGGGGTCGACTCAGCCTCTAACAGAAATGATTACAAGGAATATTCCTGGGGGGGGGTAGGGCGGGGCCTCGACGTCTCACAACCCTATGGGTCTCCATGGCCCGTTACAGGGGCAGCTTTACCTTTCAGCTAATTATCATAACAGCTATAGGAGCCGCGGCAAGTCCATTTTTGTCTATCTTGCTACGGAGCAACATATATTTATTTACTTCTGATGGCCCCTTAAGTTTCTTCTTAGTTTCGGTATGACGACTATGTCCACTTAATGTAGTTCAAAATTATCTTTCAACCTGTCTCTTTGTCGCATAGTCCTCGTTTATTCCATACATCTGTTTTAACCGCCTCTTGGTTCGTCCTTTTAACTAGCCTTGGTCGTTTTGATGGGAGAAGTACTATTGCCAATATCATGGAGATAAGCAGTAACCTGAAAGTCAATAACCAATTCATCACTGAACTAGTTTAGCGACTGGGACCCCGTCTTAAGGCCTCTAAACTTCCGTTCACAATGTCTCCCGTTACCTATAAAGCTTTCTGTGGTTTCGTCATGAAAAAGTAAGCGAATGCACTCGCTGTATGTGCAGAAAATTTTGCACCTCTCTACATGACGGACAAACCTTCTCCTCAGAGAGAATGTGTCGGATAAGAAGAGCAGAGCACACGGCACTCTGTTGCACTTCGGACCCCCCTTCTCTCGTCAGAAAGGACATACCAAGCAACGTCACAATCTTTTCGGGAGGCCAAATAAAACTCGATGCCAAGTCAACACGTGTCAACTAAAGAACCTTCTCTATTGCACCCTGATCTTAATGTACAGTCCTGATATTAGGAAGCAGGAAACTTGGCTTAGTCCGCTCCCATCTGGTGTATTGCTAGTGGGGTGGGACTGAGTCCCTTGTACTGCGGCCACTTCTGGCCTATTGTACCTGCCCAGATGATAGTGGAGCAATTGGTGGAATGAAGATTGGCAGGGGAAACCGAAGTACTCGGAGAAAACCCGCCCCAGCGCCACTTGTCCACCACAAATCCCACTTGACCAGACCCGGGTTCGAACCCGGGCTGCCGCGGTGGGAAGCGACTAACCGCTTGAGCTATGGCACGGCCTTTCGAACTGGTGTAACTCACTGTTGAATTGCCCAGTGATGAGGAAGCATACTTTGACTTTGTATATTTGCGAATAAGATTTGCTGGTAGTGCTGATGTCAAACCATTATAATAATTTCAGTTATTTATGACAATCTACTCGTAGTTCATCTGAGAGTCATAAGACTGAATCAGTCTTTTGGTTCCTAGTAACAGATAATCGGATGGTTTGGTGTCAATGAGGAAAATTGTAGTGCGCAACAACGTCAATAAAAATATTAACAATCTTCAGAAATTATAATAAGCACTGTCCCATTTCTGATTAATATTTATAAGCAGTGTTCAAGAGGCCAGAATAAATTTGAGCAAAGAAGTTAGTTATTGAAAAATATTCTCCTCATACATAAAAAGTCTCTTAGTTCAGATAAGTCAGAGTTACTTTAGGATTAGCGGTATACCGCCAATCAGTTCATCTTCACGAAAAGCCCCTTGAGA